TTCATTCCGCTAACGGAGCAGGCGAAATAGAAAATGCATAGTTACAGCCTCTCTGTTTTGAAGAAAATGGGCAAGTTAATATCCATACGACTAATTTTGATACCTTCCCTAATTTCTGTCTCTAACCTGTTTTAAATGTTAAATTGCCTAAGCTAATGAGGGAAATACCCGCACGCATTTTTGGTTAACACTTTTGTGAGGGAGGGGTATGTTCGACGAAGAAAAACTTTTTTGTCATTTTGCCTCAGAATATGCCCTAAGGCTATGCTTCAGGCTATAAAATTTGCATATTTTTGCCTGAGGCTAACCCTGCGGCTAAGCCTCAGGGAATAAGATAAAAACAAGCCCTCGGGCTAACCCTGCGGCTATGCCTCAGGGAATAAGATAACAAATAGCCTAAGGCATACCTTTAGGCATAGCCTAAGGCAAATTATGCAAATTTTATAGCCTGAAGCATAGCCATAGGGCATATTCTGAGGCAAAATGACAAAAAAGTTTTTCTTCGTCGAACATACCCCTCCCTCACAAAAGTGTCAACCAAAAGTGCGTGCGGGTATTTCCCTCATTAGCTTAGGCAATTTAACATTTAAAACAGGTCATGGCTCAAAGAGAAGGCAAGGTAAAAAATTAGTCGCATGGATATTAACTTCTCTGTTATTTGAAACGAACATAGAACCTCTAATTCTGTATTTTCTAATTGGTAGGTTCGTTTGCTCGCTCAGCGTAACGTGCATGCCAATATCCACACGATCCTAATTTTATTACCTTCTGCTTCTGAACTCATAACCTACCTCAAATGTTAACATACCCAAACTCGCGCACGCACTTATGACAACCTCAATAATTACGGATTACGATCATTTAAATAAATTACGGATTACGATCATTTAAATAAATTACGGATTAACTTGGTGTTGTTCTCTTACCTACGGCGCGGTATCGGTACGAGCCTTATTACGGATTAAGGTTATTTAAAGAGATTACGGATTAATTGCTTGTTATAGTGTTTATGTTCGTGTAGACTCGCTTGATCGTTGCTGTCTTACCAGCCTCAGTGGAAACATTTGTGCGCAATGGACTACAGTTGAAGGCGATCCATTTCGGTGAATCTTATTTATTTGGCGAAGTGTGTCGCTTCCAACTGCAGTCCATTAAAAATTAATATTTCCACCATGAACCAGGTAAAATGATGGCATGTTCCTGTCGCTTTTCGACAGCTGCTGTTAATTATGGCAGGAAATTCGCACCACTATTCATGGTTGGCGTTATTGGTGCTGTTTGGCAGGGGTGAGGGAAATGTAGAGCGCTGTCTCATGGCGAGCACGAGGCACGAGTAGGTGCGGCTTAACCGCCGCATCGCCATCATTTTGCAGCAGCACACAAACATAAACAGGTACACAAAATCGCCAACCGTGAACGAAGTACTGAACCATGAAGTCGTGAGATTGATTTCGTCCGAGGTATGGATTTTCATTCCGCAGGAGTGACCTCCTGTGGGTCACCTTCGAAGCCACATTCTACACGTCGATGGTTAGAAGAAATTTCGATACCCTAAATATATTTTTTGTTATCAAGTTATTATTAATGGTAAGCAGTGATAGCATACTTTGTGCTCCCACGGTCTTGAAGCTTCTGTCCTACAACTAGGTCTTAGTTGCACGCTGAAATGTTAATACGCTCGTTACAAGAGTCTTAACCGAACTCACTGTTATGTTTGACTTTAAGTGTCATACCTTACAAAAAAATGTATATGTCAATGTACAACTTTATGCATTAATAACGGATAACGGCGATCCAAGAACTTTGCAGTCAGTTAGCGTAGAATAAAATTCATTTCAAATTTTGTTTAATTTTTGATGAAAGTTCTGAAATATTATAGAGGCAAAACATTCCGCATGGAAGAAACTGAATGAACGTCATTTCACATAAACAGCATCCAGAAAAAATTAGCAATCAGATTAAGGCGAAATTCGAGCAGAAGAAGCACTTGCATAGAATAACATGGTCCTACACCTCAATTCTGGCAAGACCAAACCGTACTACCATACTGTCCCAATTTTCTGCAGCTCATTGTCTCATTATTTCTCGACTGGTTATTCCGAAGGAACATCGGGTTAATTTCTTGCTTAAAGGAATTCATGGTAGGACAAAGCTTGTCCTTTCAGCGGAATCGAACCCTGCACTTAGAGCTCAAAGCCGACTTCTTTTCCACTGTACCCCAATGCCCTCTTGCTATATTTCTGTTGCCCGTCTTTCAGTTAGAAGCGATTTATTTTGCTGACTAAACGACAATAGCAACTGCACTGAAAATAGGTTCGAGAGCTGCTGACGCAACAAATTTCTGTAATTAAGGTTGTACGAAGCAACGATCAACCGAATGGTGGTGAGAATCCACCAGTGGAGCAAAACATTTAGTAACAGTATGCTTTGCATTAATGAAAGTCTGTTTCAGCGGAATGTTGAAATTTAAGACGGCGGTTAAACCAATCGAGAGCAACAATTGAAAGTTTCTGGTAAAATCATCTGAGACTACAATAAGATTTTTTCGCTTAACAGATCGCCCCAAAGGAACTGAAAGTCAGTAGCAAAATAAATGAACGGTACTACTGTGCAATCTGACAAGCGTCTGATCATTTTAAGTGCTGGCTTCAATTTTGGGGGTGATTCTGCCATATAGCATTACATACTGTCGATGTGGCATTTACTAATGATGGTTAAGGGATGATGTCATTGCAAATTAGTTTTGTTCTAACCGATGTTTCACGACTCTGCTGCCGTTCGCTTGTAGCCCATGGTCAAGTCTCCGTTAAACAGCCATTTGCCGTTCATGAAACTGCCGTCATCGCAAAGTATGCGTGTTCGGTCGTCGGTGTGGTTACGAAGCGCTGCGCAGGCTGTTCGGGGGACTGAGGCATGCTGCAAAAAGTCGGCGATCAGAACCTGCTCCTTGCCTTCCGGCAGCCGCAGCAGCACAACGGCTAACGAAAAAAAAAACGAAACCAATCAGCAACGGAGTGACTACTAGTTCTGAAAGGAGGAGGCAAAAAGTGCGGTGCCATTATAGCACGCCAGAAAACGCTACACGAGAACGACATCGCCAGTAAAAGCACTGGAATATATCCTCACTCAGAGGGAAAGAACAGGAGTTAACTGATGAGGCACCAGACCAACGTGACATCGGGTATCGTCAGCGAAGCTCTAGAATCCTGAATCTCTGCAGAAGGAAGCTAATCTACCCAGATATCGACATGATGACGAGCGGTCACGCCGGAGTTCTTGTTCTGATAAAATCCAACTTGGCTAATAGAACCACTGAATGGCAATCCTCCGATCGAAGCTACAACAGACTAACGCTCCTTCCTTGTTGCCGGTCCATGCGCATAATTTAGACGGACAATATGAGTCCTTGAGAAAGTAGGGTGTGCTCTGTAAGAAGCGCCGTGCCTAATACCAAGTCCCTCATAAACGGGATCGATTTTAATCCACATGTCGCAGTAGGCGCCGAAAAATGGAAAGGCGTGATGGAAAAGAACAGCCGCGGCTACCTCAAAGATAACGGCGTGAACTTGCGACGGTCTTGTGCAAACAACAGACTGTCCAC